GGCAGACAGTCCTGCACCTCGAACCTGGATGGCAGGCCATAGTCTAGGTCTAAGAGGCAGGTCTGGCAGACAGTCCTGCACCTCGAACCTGGATGGCAGGCCATAGTCTAGGTCTAAGAGGCAGGTCTGGCAGACATTCTTCAATTTTCTGCAGGTCTGGCACACTTCAGTCTTCTTGAAGCGCATGCGGAGCCCAGGACACCAGCGAAACACTGTGAATGGCCTGGCACAGATTTTGCATTCCTTCCCGTACTTTTCTTTGGTCATTCGGATATACGGGTTTTCTCCAAGGCATGTCTGGCATAGAATCGGAAAGTCCGCATCCTCCCAGTTCTGCCTGTTGTAGGTGTTGAAGCCCAGAGAGGTCGCCATTTTGAGAGTGTAGAGGGACAGGAGTAGAATATGAGCTGGAGAACGGGCTGCCACAATCCCATCCTAATTTTAAACTTTTTAAAAAATTTTTATTTATTTATTTTGTGTGTGTTTCGCCAGCTCAGTCCACCAGGGGGACGGGGCTGGCTGGCACGTGGTGCTGGGGGACTGAACCGCGGTCCCCGCGCTTTATTTAGCTTAGCTTGCTCCAAGTAGATGCCCCAGACCACTGAGCCATCTCACCAGCCCTAAAAAAAATTTTTTTTAAATTTTTATTTGTGTGTGTGTGTGGCCAGCTCAGCCCACCAGGGGGTGGGACTGGCTGGCGTGTGGTGCAGGGGGATTGAACCGCGGTCCTTGTGCTTTGACTTAGCTTGTTCTAAATAGGTGCTTTAGACCACTGAGCCATCTCACCAGCCCTCTAGTTGTCTTCTTAATCCGAATGAATTCTTGGGTTGTTTTGTGTAATTGTGTGAGCTGTGCTGTTGGAAGTTTGATTGGCATTGCATTAGACCTGTATATCAGTTTTGGAAGTGTCATTTTTCATTACACTGATTCTTCCTACTCTAGAGCATTGGACAGCTTTCCATTTTTTGATATCTACTTCAATCTTTTTTTTTTTTTTTTTGAGTACTTTAGTTTTCAGTACAGCAGTTTTCTACATCCTCTGTTAGATGTACACTGAGTCCTAGGTATTTCACAGTAGCATTTGGATGCTATTATGCAAGGTGTTGTTTCTCTGATTTCTTTCTCAGCAAGTTTCTTATTTGAAAATCCCGTAATGTTGCCGCCCATGTATGTGAGTCCAGGATACAACTGCACAATTGCAGGCTCCCCTTCTCCACCGAGTAGAGGCTGCAAGACCCCACGTGGGTGCCTGAGCCTGCACAGCACCAAGCCTGTCTGGGTGTGTGACTTGGTATTTGTCTATAATGTATATATTTCTATATAATCTTTATTATATGTGTATGTGTATGTGTGATAAAGATCATTTATGTCTCTCTCTCTCTCTCTTTTTTTTTTTGTTGTTTTTTTTTTTTTTGGCAGTACCAGGGATTGAACTCAGGACCTTGCACTTGCCAGGCAAGCACTTATTCTACTGAGCTATCTTCCCGGCCCTATTTATGTCTTAAGGAAAGTAAAAAATCAACAGTAGTGACTAGTAATATAGACAAACTTCTACACCACTGTGCCGGCATCATGGAGCCCTGAGCTGCTGCTGCTCCTTCCCTGCTCTGCGGGGCCCCATCCACCTCTCCTCGGCCACAGTTGTCCATCTTTTTGTTTGTTCTTTCTTTTCTTTGAACTCACTCTATAGCAAGGCTGGCTTTGAACTCAGTGGTCCTCCTGTCTCAGCTCCCAAGTGCTGGGATTCAGGGTGCCACACCAGGCCTGGCTGCACCTCCCTCTCCTCATGGGCTCCTGCCAGCAGCCGAGCCTGTGCCAGCCGCAGCCCAAGCTCCCTGTCCCCAGGGCTTCCTGGACACCAGCAGTGTCCTGGTGGGGATCAAGTAGGGTGGAGAACACGCAGCCCTCCCCGGGATCTCTCCTGCCTTTGATTCAGACACTGCAGGTTTCATTAAGGCCCTGAAAGCACTTGCTCAGCTGTCAGGGATGGGGGTCGGTGATGTTAGTGTGTTGTGGGTCCCTGGGTCCCCATGTCCCCTGCTCTGTAAGGAACCATAATAAGCCCTTTTCCTGCCCTGCTGGACGTGTCTGAATCACTCTTGTACCATGGATGCTTTCCTGTCATGGCCCATGTTCCTTCTGTTAGAATGCTTTGGAAATTCACCCAAATTGAAAGCCAGAATGGAAGGAAGCGGTTTTTACATTCAGGATCCATTGTCTTGAAACTTTTACCTCAAAGGCAAATGAACTTGTGTGGAGTGCAGAAGGGCTGGTGGGAAGGGTGGGGGGAGGGGGACAGCGCTTGGGTGGAAATCCCAGGGGGGCTGACCTCTTGTGAGGGGTCTCCCAGTGGCCTTGGGGGGACAGGGACTGCGGCCTGGGTGCTGCTGTGCACTTGTGTGCTGGGAGGGTGGGGTGGACAAGGAAGTGAGGCACTCCAGTTAGAGGGCCAACCCCCGTGACACAGGGAAACCTCCAAATGACGCAGGGAGAAAATGATCTCCCAACCTAAAACGTACCTGGGATGAGTTCGTGTTCTCTAAAACCGAAGAAAGAATTTTAGGAACAAACAGAGGTTATGAGCAGAATAGAGAGAAAGAAAGCTCCTGTCTGAGAAAGGAACAGGAGAGGGGCCTGAGTGGATGGTCCCCAGGAAGCTGTCTCTTCCAGGGACTTGCACAGAGGAAAACCATGTAGTGAGGCAAGTCTAAGGTGGTGGAGAAGACATGGGAATTCGCTTAGGTGGGCCTGAGGTGGGACAAAACTATGGTCAACTAATGAGATTACAAGCACCATTGCTCGGGTAATATTGATTAAATTCAGTACCAAATGGGGAAGCGAGTCAGGTAGCAAGTGGGCATGAATCAGGACAGGGTCTCTTCCTGTTGGGGGTTGGGCTAGTGCCTCATTTGGGCTCTTTCAGGGTGATTGATGCCTATTTAGAATATCAATCCCTGATGCCCATCCCTAGGGAAGTATGTAATGGGTTAACTCACATTTATAGCCTAAAATGTGAGTTAACCCACTTCAGGGATAGGGGTGAGCCAATCTCACCAGGTCCCCATTGGGGCCACCGGAACGGAGCCCCAGTCAGAAGCCATCTGCAGACAGAGCATTGGGGTTCTCCAGGTCAAAAATCATGTCACTCGTCCCACACGGCCAGCTCCCTCCTGTGACAGCACAGGGAGCCCTAAGCACTTCCAGGGCAGGCGGTATCCATGGCCACAGCCTGCACAGCCTGCTCCTGGAAGGCTCAACCCCAGAGAGCGTGTCACCCAGGCCTGTGCCCTCCGCACGCCCCTCTCCCTCTGCAGGCTGCAGATCTCACCTTTTCAGGTCATGAGCGATGAGTCAGAGCCCCGGGTGTGGTCACTGCCTGGGGTGAAAACATAGCAGGGTGCAGTCAGAGGCCACAGGACAGGAGGCCACAGGAGGAACTGTGGGGTGGGGATCCCGTGGATTCTGATACAGGACCCCAAGTCTCTCAGGAATCAGCTCCCCAACACTTACTTGCAGCCTGAGCGTAGCTCCCTCCTTTCACACCTGTGGGGAGCAAATGCCTTGTGAGAAGCCAGAGAGGAGGCTGGGCCAGAACAACCTCAAAGTACTGCCTAGGCCTGGACCCAGGGAAGTTCCCAGAACTGGGATGAGACCCGGGGAATGACCAGGAAGCACAAGGAAGGGACATGTTCAGGACCTGCGCTATCTGTACTCCGGCACTCTGTCCCCAGCAGGGACCTTCTCCTCTGCCCTGACTGCTGGGGATCAGGACCCCATCACCACAACCACAGGGTGACCAATCCGTCCTTCCTGTTCCTTGTGCTTCACAACAGAGTCTGGGACCCCGGCTGGGTGAGCACCTGTGTGTGTGCCTGGTGCTCAGAATAAAGAGGTGGGTGCACTTTTCTCTGGGGCCTGAACCTCGAACACTCAGGCCCTGACCCCTTCTTACCTGCCCTCTTCCTCCTCCACACCACAAGGGCCATCACAGCAGTGACCACAAGGAGAACAATGACGGCAGCAGAGACTCCTATGGCTTTGATGTCTCCAGTGGGGCTCTGGGAAGGGAAGAAAAGGTCAATGGTTCTGGTGCCAGGTGTCAGGTCTGAGGTCTCCAGCCGGACAGGAAGTCTTTTTCCCCTGAAAGAAGGCCCTGTGGCCCCCTTATCCCATCTCAGGGTGCGGGGCTCAGGCAGCCCCTCATGCTGCACACAGCACGTGTACTTCTGCTCCTCTCCAGGAGGCACCACCACAGCCACCCACTTCTGGAAGGTTCCACTCCCATCGGGCCTGGTCTCCACCAGCTCCATGTCCTGGGTCAGGTCCTGCCCATCCCTCTGCCAGGTCATGGTGATCTCCTCAGGGTAGAAGCCCAGGGCCCAGCACCTCAGGGTGACCTCTTCCTCGGAGATGGGGTGGTGGGTCACGCGTGTCTCTGGGGGATCTGAGGGAAGAGGGGAACATTCAGGCACTTTGCATCCTTCCTGGGCTGCTGCAGCAGCTCATGTGACCGTCCTGAGAATGGACAGGACAGAAGGGTTGGGGGACTGCAAACCCCAGAGACCAGGCTGGACACAGGCGTCTGGGATAATCTATTGCTCAGACAGTTCTAGAGTTGGGGTGAGGGGACCCAGGGGAGGAGGTTCATGGTCTCTGGGGGAGGGAAAGGGACCTCTGTCCTCAAGACTGTGGAGACTGAGAGACCAGAATAGTGGAGTGAGACCTCCAAAGACCCCGGGTGTGGGCAGGGACAGGCCGAGAGAGGGCAGGGGCACAGCCTCCTGAAGGGCAGGGTGAGGGGCACCTCGGGGTCCTCCCTCCATGCTGGGACAGACTCTCCTCTCCTGAGAGAAGGGGCTCAGGACAGCGCCCTGCTCTCAGCTGTGAAGTCCCAAGAGCGCTCTTCCCGTGCAGGGAGAGGCCCGCGGTGCTGCGGGAAGGGTCCCGCTTTCCTCCCTGGAGGCAGCTGCCCGGCCAGAGCGCGGATGGGAGGTCTCCAGGGCCGGTACCTGCGCGCTGCAGGCTCTCCTTCCCGAGCTCCAGGTGTCTGCGGAGCCACTCCACGCAGGTGCCCTGCAGGTAGGCCTTGTAATGCTCTGCCTCTCCGGCCTCCACCCACTTGCGCTGTGTCTTCTGAGCGGCAGTGTCCGCCGCCACCCAGGAGCTCAGGCCCTGGCGAGGGCGATGTAGTCCTTGCCGTCGTAGGCGTCCAGCCCGTAGCCGCCGAGGAAGCGCCCGCCTGGCTCCACTTCGCAGCCACGCATCACTGGACCCCGCCCGCGCCCTCGGCCCCGCCCCAGCCCCAGGATTTTTGGTCTCCGCGGTCCCGCAGCCTCCCAGTGAACCTTGGACCTACTGACCTGGGACCACTGCGTTCATCCCTGGCGGTGGGCAGGGGTCGTGACCGCTGACCCGGCCGGGGTCACTCGCCGTCCGGCTCTGGTTATAGGAGCGGACCGCGGCCTGCAGTTTCACCCCGGAAACCGCGCGTTGTCCCAGCGCGCCTGAGCCACCCGCTCCATCCACCCGGGTTTCACCCTCGGATCAGTGGCGTAGCTATCGAAGCGCAAGATCTCGGTGTAGTGCACGTAGCCGATCTCCACGTGCCGGGGCTCCGCGTGACCCGGCCGGGACACAGCGATCCTGACGTGGCGCCGGGAGTGGGAGCCTGCGGGCGGGGCCGTGAGACCGCGACCCTCCGCGCCCGCCCTCGCAGCTCCTGCTTTTTTCTGCCGGGTACTCATCCGCGTGGGTCTGGGTCAGGACCAGCCCCCAACCCCACCCCACCCCACCCCACCCCACCCCTTTCCCCTCCCCCACCCCCAGCTGTCTTTCTAGC